GGGGGTACCTGGTGGTGAGGGTGGGGCACAGGTTAGGGGACCTTCAGGTGGGGTGCTCTGGTATCCCTCATCGGCCCTGGTATGAGGTCTGAGTTAACCTCTTCCCTGACCCCGCCCATCGTGCCTCCCCGCTCGCACACATCCAGGTCTTTCAAGAAGTGGGGGGGGAGGGGGGGAGGCGGTGGGGAGGCAGTGCAGGCCAAAGAAGCAGCAGGGGTACAGCCTGAGAGGCAGCTCCGTGCCCTGGAGCAAAGATGGGGGGTGGAGGAAGGAAAAGGGGTCACCAGGAGGCAAGCATTGGCCAGATCCTTAAAGGCCAGCCAGGAGCACCTGCAGGGCCCCTGGGACGGGATTAGGGCCTGAGCCCTGTGCCCACATTCTTCCTGGATGGGCAGAGCCTGGTCCTTCTGCCTGCCTGTCCCCCTTCAGGGGTAGCTTATCTGGGGTGGCAGGTGAATGTACACAACACTGTCCCTGTTCCCGAAACGAGGAAACGGGCTCAGAGAGGTGGTTGCTTGTGCCAGCCCCTGGCTGAATGACTGAGGGAATGACGCTGACCGATCTCATTCCTCAAGAGTCCCAGGATCAGAGAGGTCAAGGACTGGTCTAAGGCTGCACAGCCAGGATCGGGGGGAGCAGGCCTCACTCTAGGCAGGGGCAACAGAGCCTTTGCTCTCCACCACTTTCCAACCTTTCTGTTTGGATTTCAGGACATCTGTGTCCTACTGTGGGCCTAGGGGGCCTGTCAAGCCCCAATCCTGTCTGGTCCTCCCTGGCTCTAGAACCTGCCATGCTCTCCACTGCCAAGAGAAGAAAGTCCACGCTCCTTGGCTGGGCCTTCAAAGCCCTCCCCAGCCCCGCCCCCGCCCCCTTCCCTGTCTCCTTGGGCCAACCGCAGAGTGGGCCTGCCTGGAGTGGAGCACTGGGCAGGGCGTTGAGAGAAAGAACTAAAACTGGGAGAAAATGAGCTTCTACTTTGAATCAGAACTTGTTTCTTTGTCGTTGTTGTTTTTGGGGAGTGGGGGTCCCTGTTCTCAGCCACACCCTGACCCGGTCTCTCTGCTCTGAAGACAGGTCTCTGCGGAAAAACTCCCCGCCATCTGCAGGCTCTTCCTTCCCCGGCGCCTGCTTACTTTTCCAGCTTTGCTCACTCATTCATTCGACAAACTTCTACTGACGAACTGCCATTGTCAGGGCTGCACTGGGCTTCACAGACCCAGGAGGTGCAGGCCTGGTGCTCTCCTGTCACTGCCTGGCTCTCAACTCTGCTCCGAGTCCAGCCGGACGTCCTTTTGCTCAGGTCAGGTGAGCCCCACGTCTGCACACACACATTCCCTCTGCCCAGCACACCTTCCCCACCCATCAAGACCCAGCTCAGATGTCGCCTCCTCTGGGAAGCTGGTATTGTGATTTGTAATAAGAAATAGATACTTGGTCTTCCTCTCATTCCAGGCAGGGAGCTCCTAAAACCCCGGGAAGTTTCTAAGTGATAGAGTGACAAAGGTAAAGGAGCACCTTTTAAAATTCAGAACAAGCCCCGTTGACCACACCTGAGTTCATATTAACGGGGTGACTTTGGGAAAGCCCTTAGGGATAGGGGTCTGGTCGCCAGAGGAACCAGCCACTTCATTAGAGCTGGGACTTTTTCCAGGGAGGGGAGGGGCTGGAGATTGAGTTCAATCACCAATGAGTTCATCAATCCATCATATCCACTTAGTGACGCCTCTATAAAAACCCCGGCGGAAGGGGCTTGGAGAACGTCCTGAACACATCTGGGCGCTGGGAAAGTGGTGCATACGGAGAGGGTGTTGGTGCCCACGCCCCCTCCCATACCCCTTGCCCTCCGCATCTTCCATCTGGTTGTTCTTGACCTGTATCCTTTATAATAAACTGGTAATCTAGCAAGTAAAGTTTTCCCGAGTTCTGTGAGATGCTCTAGCAGATGATCAAACCTGAGAAGGGCTTGTGGGGATCTCCAATTCATAGCCAGGAGGTCAGAAACACGGGTGACAGCCTGCACTGGCATCGGAATTGGGAGCAGTCTTGAGGGACTGAGCCCTTAACCCGTGGAGTCCAGGTAATTGACTCCAGGCAAATAGTGTCGGAAATGAACTGAATTGGAGTGGAAAGAAGTTCTTGCAGGGGGCTGGGAGGTTAAGGTCCTGTACTCTTGTGGGCGACTAGAGTGCGGCCTGCGCTAGGGCAGTGATCGGCAAACTGCGGCTCGCGAGCCACATGCGTTTCTTTTTTTGGTATTTTGTGGAAGAGCCACACTCAAGGGGCCAAAGAGCCGCATGTGGCTTGCGAGCCGCAGTTTGCCGACCACTGTGCTAGGGTAACCCAGCGCTCAGCCTGTAGCTGGGCGGGGGCAGGTGATGTCCTTTCAGGTGACCATTCCATCTTCCTTCCCTCCCTAGAGCCTGCTGAGGGCATAGTGACTGCCTTGGGGCCAGGAAAGAGCCCTCTTCAGACTTTGGACTCCCTGAGGTGGGGCTTCCTCCAGCTCAGCTGTGGGCCTACAGTTCAGAACTGGGTTCTAGGGCTAGCTTTGCTGTGCCTGCTGGCTTCTGGTCGTCTCCCCACAGTACCCGCAGAAAGAGTGCAGCAAAGAGTCTTCTGGGGGCCAACAAGGCCACTCACCATTGAGTGCTGGGGGTGTGGACGGAGATCCTAAGGGGGATGAGTCATCTGAATCCAGGTACCAGGTGGCTTCGTCCATGCGGGACCTTCTCCTGGTTACAGGAGGGGAAGGGAGTTGTGCTTTGTGAGTCCAGGACTGTTGGAAGGCAGAGAATACTGGAGTTGGGGGACTCAGACACTCACCTCCCATTCTGGGCTTCCCCAGGCTTGGGGGAACTGGGACCCCAGGCCCAGCATGCTCGGCGTTCTCCATTGCTTGAGTCCTCCTGGCGTCGGGGGGACTGGCGGCCCCATGCCTGGCCTGGTTCTGCAGGCTCCACTGTGGAGGGAAAACCAGTGGAGTCTGAGCTGAGGTCAAGAGCTCTGACCCTTGTGCTCTGGCATCACGAGAATCAGGCATGTTACCAGAGGTAACATGCTAGGATGGCAGCAGGCTGGGCTCCAATCCATCCCTGGGTGGGCTTTGGGCCACAGAGAACTTAATGGAATTGGGGCTTCGTAGGTGGGTTTGGGTCCTGGGGTAGGGAGCAGGGGGGGAGGTAGGGGGGTATCTCATCTAGTCCTCCAGCGGGCATTTGCTGTTTAGTAGTTAATTTGCTGTTTACTAGTTAGTACAGACACGGCATAAATCCACCTGGGTTTGAATTCTGCACTGTTATTAGCTGCGTAATGTTAGGCAAGTTACTTTTTTCACTTTCCTTATTTATAAAACTTAATAAGGATAGCTCCCTCACAAAGTTATTGTGAGGAATTAAGTCAATATTAGCAAGACATTTAGAAAAACGAGGACTCATAAAATTAGAAAATACTAGTATCCTACAACTGTTTGACGTTTTACAAGGTAGTAAAATAAATTCTGCCGGGGGAACGCGAAGGTACCAGTCTAGACTGATAGCGAAGGGAGACTGGGGCCGAGGAGAAGGTTTGACAGAAAGGTAAGAGGTGGGGCAAGGGCAGAGGGAGGTGAGGATTCTTACACTGGATGGCCCGAAACCGGGGAAAGGTGGGCGAGTCCCCAGCTCCGACCTCGAACACGTTTCTCCTCCGGTCCAGGCCGGGCGAGGCCTGCACAGTGATTCGGTGTTTGAAGTCTGGGTTTGGGAAGGAAGCAGGGCCAGTTCGTGGTGAAGGAGAGCCAAGATCCCAACCTGCAGGGGCCCTGGGCCGGCTCGTAGGCAGCGCGGGGACCGGGCCTGGCACGATGGGGATGTGGCTGGGGCCAGCTTACTGCCC